CTAGAACCCAGATGCTCTGATAACAGAACAAGACCTGCTTCAGTGTGAGGTCCCTTACCTTTTTGATGAAAGTGGGGCTGAGGGTCTCCCAGGAAACAAAATCATGTTCCATCAGCTCTACAAAGGCCTTCAGGGTGTACGCCAGAATCTCCCCTGTACTGGAGTAACAGACAGCAAACAGGGTAAGAGCCAATGGGCGGGTGGGAGACTCAAACCCAGAAACCATAGGAAGGATGCATTTAGAGGAACCTAGGAGGAGAGAGAAGGAACAAAGAAGAAGAAGAAGAAAAAGGAAATGTCTCCATAAAAGCCAACGTCCCAGGAAAAAAAAAAGGCCAAGGAAGCAGAAAGAGATGGGACAGATTATTCTAAGGAAAACCTCAAGGGCCACCACAATAATGTCGTTGAGAAACACCTGCTTGTTATATTTTAAGGGTGCACTCTTTGCATAACTCACTCTGGTCACAGTGTGGACAGTTGAATCCCTAAAAATTTGTGATTATTAATTCATGAAAACAGAGGAAAACAATGGAGAAGGAAGAGTTAAAACACACAAATTTAGCTAAACCCATACGGATTGGTGCCTCCTTCCTGGGACTCAACCGGAGCAGTTCACTGATCAGTAAAGTATTATTGGCTGAAGGGGGCACCCCAATGAACAACGGGGTCCCGCATGAAAATTGTGGGCAAAGCCAAACGAAAACCAAAACATTTTTTTGGAGGGGAAATTTGCAAAGTGTTCTCCATGATGGCAAGGCTTAAAAAGAGCGGTGCTCTTAACATCGCAGTCATGTTCACGTTTCATTGGCAAATTGGCTCCAGGAATTGCGTAAGGGCATTGTAGAAGACCACATTCCGTCCATATGCCATGGATGGTCTACCCCATAGCTACCTGAGGAGCTGCAGAAAAACATCCTTGGAAGAGATCAGAAGGAAACCTCGGGCCAAAAAGCCTGAAGATACTCACTTATTATCTTCCTCCACAATCGAGAAGAGTTGATTCAGGCCATTTCTGCTAATAAACTCCTGCGCAAAGGCCACATCCCGGGACAGGCCGGCCAGCTTCTTCAAAGAATTGGTCTTCACGTCCACACTGTTGCTTTGAATGCCCCCGTGCAGCTTTGCTGCCTCTTGATCCTGCAAAGAGATATTTGGGGGGGAAATCAAAGAGGATGGCATAGCCACACTTGGAATATTGTTGCATTCAGTTCTGATCACGTTATTGTCAGGATTCCAGCAATTGCTATTTTATGGCACTGAGGGAGAAAAAAAAGCTAAGGCGTATTTTATAAGGTTTCTAAAATAATGCATGGCATGGAAGAAGAGAGTGGTAGCTTGGCTCTTCCCACAGAATCAAAATCCTGGTTGATCCAATGACCAGCAATAGTTTTTAATGCCAGTAAAATCATACTTATGCCAGAGTTGGTATTCAGCAGGTTCTGACCAGTTCTGGGGAACCGGTAGCAGAAACTGAGTAGTTTGGAAAACCAGCAAATACCGCCTCTGACTGGCTCCGCCCCCTCTATTCTCCGCCTCCCAAGTCCCAGCTGATTGGCTGGCTCTTCTTTTGTTGCCCTGCACAGGAGAACGGAACTGGAAAGCAGGTTAGTGGGGTGGGAATGGGGATTTTGCAGTATCCTTCCCCCAGAAGTGGGGAAGGAATGGGGATTTTACAGTATCCTTCCCCTGCCACAGCCACCAAGTCACGCCCATAGAACCAGTAGTAAAAAATTATGAATCCCACCACTGACTTATCCCCTCAGCAGAGCACAATCAAGGAAGGAAGATTCTTTAAACGAGTTTAAACAACAAGAAATAAGCCTTCGATTACAAAAAAGCTTGAAAAGTGAGATAGGAATTCACCCAGCCCTCCTTTTATTAGTGAGTTCCTTAAGTTCAGGTCTCCTCTGAAGCTTCTGAATTTCTTTTTCCCAATTTGTTTGCACATCCCTCGGGCTGAAAATCTGTGTGTGTGTGTGTGTGTGTGTGTGTGTGGTGATAAGTCCATAGTAAGCTGACTTATCTGCTGATAGTTTCTACAGATCTTTTTCCTCTCTGTCTCAGCAAAGCCTCTAGTTATATATATATATTTGCAACACATTTGGTGGAATAGTGGGAAGGTAGGTAAGTTTTGCATTTGCACCAAGGTGATTTCTTCCCCCCACCAAAAAAAAATAACTAAATGAAACCAAGAATTGACTCAAGCCAACAGTAAAAGTTACATTAATGCAATTGCTGCGAGTTCACATTCTGCAGATGTGTAAGGTGGGCAGATGTGTTCCCATTGAACGTATCTGGAGGGGTCTGGATTGAGGAAAGCTTGTGTTAAAACCTCAAAAGGAACACAACTGCAGCCCATCTCAATGCTGCTTCGATTATGTGCCTAGGAATGGGCATAATAATATTTTGCTGCTAAGCACTGGAATCTTAAAACAGTAAGGACTGTAAAATTTAGCCAAAGTAGCAAGAACAAAAAGTAACTCAAAAGTATTGACATAAATAGATGGTAAAAATAGTAGCCAGGATGTGGGTGGTTTTTTTTTTTAAAAAAAACAGCTCTCACTCAAAAAGCGTTCTGTAGCAAGTCGGTGTTTATTTTCCTTTGAATTTCCTCCAAGTAAGGAAGAAAGAAGCAGCTGAAATGAGTTAAGGGCCACCGTGATAAGAAATCAATGACCTTTGACCATCAACGTCCTCCATCCAATCCTTAAAAACAAATAAATAACTGAAAATTGATGGAGGAAACTGCATGACTTTACAATAAAAGCCTCATTTGAAAGTCTTTTATTTTTCATCTGCCCACCTTGCTCCGAGGTGGAGTCAGGGAGACTGAATGGAGCTAGAATTTATTGGCCAGATGCCCTTCCTGACATCTACACAGGGTTCACAGCAGATATTTTCTCTTTGTGCTCTGAGAGAGAGAAACATCTGTCTCTCCCTAGGATTGAACTCTCAACCTTCTGAGTGGGAAGCAAGCTCTTCACTTCTAGGCCAACGAGCAGCTCTGAAAGTATTTTATAACACAACCATATTTGCAGTTTCCCAAATTTGCCAGAAAAAAAATGCATCACTATCCTAAGGATGTGCGTAAATTATCAAACTGGAATAGCCAGCAGGATGTAAAGGGGTTATCTGGTTTTGTTCTAATGATTAGTCGGCAAGATTTGCAAGATGACAAAATGCCCAGTAAGAAAATAAGGGGAAAAGCATGCAGAAATCACATGCTTGGAATCTACAAACGACGTTGTCCTTGAGCAAAGACAAAATTCGGAATGTTTTCCTGTTTACACTGGGACCTACCGGAGCAGTGGTCAATTGCAGGATACTCCCATTCTTAATTTCTCCACGGTTCTGACAAAACAAGAAAACAATTGCACAATCAAAATCTCAAAACACTGAATAAAAGCAGCCAAAGATGAACTTGGAGAGGAAAAAGTTCAAAGCGATCTTCCAAATTTCTATCTTGCCAACATTTTAACTAGCCTTCTAGGAGAACTGAAAAATAAGAGGCAGAAAAAGTTGTTTTACTAATGGTAATCATTCAATGTTCATCTTTTTTTGGGGGTGGGGGGGGGCAGGCTGTAATCATCCTTGCAGGCATTTTTTTTTTTTGCAGGTTGGTCTACTAAACTCTTTCTCAAATGCACTCACCAGTTCTTTTTTTTTAAAAAAAAACAAAACAATTTTATTAATTTTCTACAAACAAACAAGACAAACAAAACATTAAAACATCAACTCTCTTATGTACACACAGTGTGTCGGTTGGTTCATCAGTTTTGAAATGGACTCACCAGTTCTGTGATGTAAGCTTGTTGGCCGTCCACGTACTGCAGAGCATAGCGCTCGGAATTATTTAGGTTCCACCTATGTTAGAGACAGACAATTGGAATTTGGCCCAGGGTGCAGAGATCCCTTTCCAAAACTGGGGTATTTCCATCTCCCAGGAAAGAAACTGGACATTCAAGGGAATGTATTGTCTGAATCATGCAAATGTTTGCTACTCAACTAAGTTTTCTACAAAGTTTAATCAAACTCTGTGTTTATCTGAAAGGAACATGATCCTCAAAAAAAAGGGGAGGAAAGGGAATTAGAGAGAAATTATACATGCCTGTATTTGTTTTATATATACACACATACATACACACACACACACACCCATCCTGGGGGAGTAAAATTCTGTGCAATAGCCAACTCAGCCTTCACCAGTTCTTGGAGGTGTTTCCCTACCTCCATAAACATGTTGTTGCATGTGGCATACAAGGCCAAACCAGAAGTCACACTCCAAAAAGGAGAATGGTGAGGACAAAATAACTCTTCATACTAACTGGATTAAATACCAATTACACTTCATTTCTTTTACAACGAGGCTCCAATTTGTAAAATCTATTCTTCTCTCCCTTGCAAGTATGTCAATGATCTATTCTCTTTCACAGATACAAATCACCTTCTCTTATCCAAAACGTGTCTAAAGCATATGAAGAATGGTTGCAAGTATTGAGTATGTCTAGTCTAATGAAAGGACTAGGGGCGACATAGCAGTGTTCCAAAATTTGAGGGGCTGCCCCAAAGAAGAAGGAGTCAAGCTATTCTCCAAAACATCTTGAAGGCGGGACAAGAAGCAATGGATGGAAACTAATCAAGGAGAGAAGCAATGTAAAACTAAGGAGAAATTTCTTGACAGTGAGAACAATTACTCAATGGGAATAACTTGCTTCCAAAAGTTGTGAATGCTCCAACGCTGGAGGTTTTTAAGAGATTGGAACAATCATTTGTCTGAAATGATATAGGGTTTCCTGCTAGAGCAGGGGGCTGGACTAGAAGACCTCCAAGGTCCCTTCCAACTCTGTTATTCTGTTATTATATGGACAAGTACAGACCTTTAATTCCAGCAGGAGGTAATGACGGAAGAGAGGATGGAGAGAAGGGAAGGGTTGAAAGAGGAGGTGAAGGGGGAAACATCTAGAAAAATGCCTGCTATCAGTAATTTGGGGGCTCCGTTGATTTATAGCCGTGCTTTTCAACTTCAGCAACTTGAAGGTGTGTTCAAGATTCAAGTTCAAGAAAGCTAAAGTACATTAACGAAACAGAAAACAGACAAACCTCCCTTAGAACATATTTAATAACTCAAAGCGGGCGTGGAAAAATATATTAAGTTTTTGCAAACATTTGGCAGTCAGCAGCTTCTGTCTGAAACCGTTCTATGAATCAGTCTCGGGCTTTTTCTGCTGATCTGCTACAAGGCAAAAGCAAAAGCAAAAAAGAAGAAGAAGAAGGAGTAGCTACTCACACTTCACAGACTTCTTTCACAACTGCTGACAAAGGCTTAGCCTGTAATTAAACATAAACGGCATGAGGATAATTTGAACCTTAAAGCAGAGCCGGTGCACGGAAAATAGAATTGGGCACCCCTGAGATGGCACAACACTTCAATGTGCCAAATTGGGTTTTATTTTTTTAAAAATGTAAAATATCCTCTACCTGATTCAGTTCTATAAGCTGGGGAATTGCGCCCATCATCTGCACAGCGATTTTGACCACATCTTTGGAAGGCGGCATGGTCAGATCTTTTCTGGGTTGACCGTCAGGTCCCTCCTGCAAAAAGTATGAAGATGTCCCTCATCACATCATAGAACAAGGGTCTTCAAACTTGGCAAGTTTAAGACTTGTGGACTTCAAAACCCTGTTGTGGTTTGCCGGCAGAAGGTACAGACGACTGAGGTCTCAGAGAGCGAGGACTCAGATGAGGGGCCTGTGTGTGAGGCAGGGATGGGGCAGGACCATCAGGGAGTGGAGTGCTGCCTTTGGAGATTGTGGAGGCTGGCAGCAATGAGGAAGAGTCCCCCGAGGAGCCTGTGTCCAGGGTATGTGCACGCAGGGCTGCTCGAAGGAAAGAGGAGCTGCAGCAGCACAGGCGACTCAGGAGTAAGGCTGTAAGGTAATGGCCCCTCCCTTAAGAGATAAAAGCCAGCCTGAGAAACTGGAGTTCTTTGCAGAAGGCAAATAAGTTTTGATACTCCAGCCTGGTGGACGTTAGAATATCTGAGTTGGTGTTTGGAGACTCTTGGATTGATTGTTTAGGAAATTTATCTGTTGTTCTCGGCGGTTTCTTGTCGGAGCTAATTAGTTGGAAGCAACCTTTTATCTGTGAAGAAACAGGATTCGTACATGAAACAGTAAAAGGTTGTGCTGTTACCTTTCTCTTGTGTTTACTCTCTTGGAACTAGGTTTGGGTCAGAACACTCCCAGAATTCCTGAGCTAACATGACTGGAGGAGGAATTCTGGGAGTTCAAGTCCACAAGTCTTAAAGTTGCCAAGTTTTGGGACCTCTGGACTGTTATGATTAGGTTAACACCGTGAAGCATAACATGCAAACGCAGCTGATGCATATCATCCCATCTGGGTCTAAAGCAAGGAGGTCTTCAAGTTTAAGATTTCTGGACTTTAACTCCCAGAATTCCTGAGCTAACATGACTGGAGGAGGAATTCTGGGAGATGAAGTCCACAAGTCTTAAAGTTGTCAAGTTTGAAGACGCCTGACACAGAACCATGACAGGGATCAGAAAGGAAAAACGCTACCTGGGCAACGGGAAGGTTTATTGCTAAGATATTTGATAACACACAGGCAATGGAATTTGCACATAGAGCTAACCCTTGAACTTATAACAATTTGCTTAGTGACCATTCAAAGTTACAACAGCACTGAAAAAAAGTGATTTGTGTCCATTTTTCACAGTTATGACCGTTGCTGGATCCCTGTGGCCATACGATTCAGATTTGGATGCTTGACAACTGACTCACACTTACGACGGTTGCAGTGTCCTGAAATCACACGATCTCCTTTAAGCTGACAAGCAAAGTCGGTGGGGGAAACCGGATTCACTTAAGAACCGTGTGACTAATTTAATGACAGCAGCGATCAGTGGTGTCTTAACCGTGAAGCAGACTAAGCACGTGCTTAAGAGCACCAGGCCCAAAGGGGGCACCACAAAAACTTTTTATGTAGCCTTAGCTTGGTGTGATGACCCGGCGTGTATCAAAAATATAATAAAAACCAAAATTTAAATAAAGGTCCTTTAATGCCTTCAACTTGGCTTCACTGTTTAATTGTTCACAGTTGAAGATTAAACTATTTTCAAAATAACATTCCAAACGAAAGAAAACACAGTTCAAATTCAAAGAGCGGATAACGAAGCAAAAACCAAAAACAAACCGCACTGAAGAAAAGTTCCACGACAGACCAGGATAAATAATTACAAACTTCAGGAAGATAACCAGGTACAGTCCGTTGGAAGAACGCCAACTAAGATAAACCTCATCCAGGAAAAGCACTCATTTGTCTCCAGCGTTTGCCAGTATGCAGGTCCAAACTCTTATGCAGATCTCACGCCTGCAGCCCATGAAGAGGATCAAGGCCCTCTCCTCCTGAGTAGACCACGTCTCTCCCTGATCCTCTCCTCCCTGCGTGCCCTAGGATGGAGGGGGTGGGCCTGGGTCTTCCTCTGACTGCCCAGCAGGCCTCTGCCCTTCTCCATCCTCCTCCACAACCTCCGGACCCACACCTCCACTCCATGTCGGCTGTTCCTTCTCTCCCTCACAGTCCGACTCTACCAGGGGCAGGACACTTGGCTTCGTTTGTAGAGTGTGTACGAAGAAGGATGGAGGCATCAAGATTTGTCAGTGCTTAGGGCACCAGGAAGCCTTCATCTGCCACTGGCAGCGATTCACTTAAGAGATGGGGCAAGAAAAGTCACAAACTGGGGCAAGGCTCAGTTAACACATTTTCTCACTGAGCAAATGTGGGCTCACTTGTATCCGCACGTCAAGGATTGCCTGTATGTGCAAAGCTGGGCATTTGTGCAACGGACATGCTTGGGAAACAGAGTCACAGGCTGCAGGCTGACTTGATCTGTGCCCTATGTCAGGATTCCAGCAATCGCTCTAATTAAATCATGATTCTCCAGCCAAACTTCAAAAAACTTCAAAGGATTCATTAAAGGCGACATACTGGCACTGCCCTGTATGACGCCAACTCTGGCATACGTCATTTACGGTCACCTCTGACCCTGTTTCCCCTCTCCCCCCTGGGTGTGTCATCAATCAGATTCTCCAATTAAATATATTCGCACCAGGCAAAAGCTCTGGTATTTTAGCTACAATCTTTTAAAGGCAAGAGTTGGAATGTACTTTCTGCTTTCAAACTGCTCTTCCAGATTTCCTTCCTCCACCCACCTCCCTTTTATGGAAACTACAAAAACAGGCATAGGAGTGTTTTATGAGTTGACATCCTGGTTTGAAAGGAGGTGCTTAATAATCCTGAAATTGCATAGGAACATGCAAACTGAATTGAAATTGGCTTGTGTTTCTCTGAGAAGCTAATATGAACGTTCTACCAAACAATTCCAGTTCCTTTACCTGCACAGGAAAAGTAGACTGGCTCCCACTGTATCCAAGTAGCTCTTCTTTAGAGACTCAGGCGGTGATGGAAAAGTTGCTTTGTGGCCAAGCCTCACATTTATGGCCTGTGAAGCAAAGGAAAAGCTGAAGTAACATCATAAGCACAGTCAAGGTTTTGCTGAGCGACCACTTCGCTTCAGTTGAAGTTGCCAATCCCTAGTGTGGTCACGAAAGGAGGATTACTTAAAAATTGATGTCCTCTTCCTTCCCCTTGTCCCCAAGGTGCTTTTTCAGGAGGCAACTGACTTTGTTTTTTGTTTGAAGACATTTCCCTTCTCATCCAGCTCTGACTGGATGGTGGCGAATGGAAGGATTTATACTCCTTGCAGACAGCTGGTCATTTGCATCCTTTTAGAGGGTCCTTGAGGCTGCTTGGAGATTTATCTGCGTCCTCAGGGTCATCTGGTGCCTGTAGTCTGCCATTTTTCCTCTGGAAATCCGTTCCTACTGCCACACCATCCAAAGGGTGTTCATCCCAAATTGTATAGATAAAAGTCTGTAGGGATTCTCAGCCATCCTGGTCATGGTTGTCTCATACAATTTGGGATGAACACCCTTTGAATGGTGTGGCAGTAGGAATGGATTTCTAGGGGGCGGAAATTGCAGACTACAAGAACCAGGAGCACCACTCAAGGTGGCCCTGAGAACCCAGATAAACCTCCCAAGTGGCCTCAACCACCCTCTAAAAGGATGCAAATGACCAGCTGTCTACAAGGAATATAAATCCTCCCATTCCCCACTAGCCAGTCAGAGCTGAAGAAGCTTCTTGGATGAGAAGCGAAGAAGTAGTCTTCAAAAGAAAAAACCAGTAAGTTCAGATGCCTCCCAAAAAAAGCACCTTTGGGACAACCATGGCCTGGAGGACTGAGAATCTCTACAAACTTCCCTCCCCTTGCATGACTCAACTGGGACTCAAGGAGAGGAATGGTCAATGAGCTTTCACTGACATTAGAGGCCCAATCAGGGAAAAGACGCAGCTGCTTTAAAGAGTTGCTGACAAAGTGCAATCTGGGTGCCTTTTTTAGAATCAAATTTGAAATGCTCCAGTTTTACTGCAAAATCACCCTTGCTCACTTGTTCCCAGAACTTTGCAAGCAAATTTGGGGGGGAGGGGGGAGAGAAAGAAAGAGAAGAGGAAGAAGAGGAAAGTCACTCAGAGTCACATCTGTCTGACTGGAGAATTTATTAGTTGGAAGGGTGGAGAGTTAACTAGAAACCCACAAATGGATCTCACTCTGGGAACCAGCCCTTTGCTTAATGATTAAAGTTAAGAGTTTGTCACTTGGATGATTCAAGCTACTTCCTCTTAATTCCACAGAGAGCAGGCTGGCCGGCTTGGCATTCTTCCACCAAGCGCCTTATGGAGGCTGAGACATCACTGAATACTTTAAAAAAAAAACCTCAATTAACTTTAAAAAAAAATCCAGCACTTCAATTTAAAAACATAATAATAATTCATGCAATGCCTTTGACTGAAGGTCTCCAAACTTGGCAACTTTTAAGACTTGTGGATTCCAACTCCCAGAATTCTGGGTGTTGAAGTCCACAAGTCTTAAAGTTGCCAAGTTTGGGGGCCCCTGCCTTTGACTTCCACTCACCCTGTTCAAAATTGACACGCAAACTTTGTAAAAAAATCATGCAATCCCTTTGACCCTCACCCTCTTCAAAACTTACACACACACACACACACACAAACTTTATTAAAAATCATGCAATCCCCTTTGACCCTCACCCTCTTCAAAACTTACACACACAGACACAAACTTTATTAAAAATCATGCAACCCCTTTGACCCTCACCCTCTTCAAAACTTACACACACACACACAAACTTTATTAAAAATCATGCAATCCCCTTTGACCCTCACCCTCTTCAAAACTTACACACACACACACAAACTTTATTAAAAATCATGCAACCCCTTTGACCCTCACCCTCTTCAAAACTTACACACACACACACAAACTTTATTAAAAATCATGCGACCCCTTTGACCCCCACCCTCTTCAAAACTTATACACACACACACAAACTTTATTAAAAATCATGCAACCCCTTTGACCCTCACCCTCTTCAAAACTTATACACACACATACAAACTTTATTAAAAATCATGCAACCCCTTGACCCTCATCCTCTTCAAAACTTACACACACACATACAAACTTTATTAAAAATCATGCAATCCCTTTGACCCTCACCCTCTT